TTGACAGGTTCTGCAGGTCCGGTAGCAGAAAATTTGAGTAGTTCAGAGAACTGGTAGTGAAAATTTTGAGTAGTTTGGAGAACTGGCAAATGCCACCTCTGGTTGGCCCCAGAGTGGGGTGGGAATGGAGATTTTGCAGTATCCTTCCCCTGCCATGGCCACCAAGCCACACCCACCAAGCCACACAACACCCATCAAGCCACGCCCACAGAATCAGTAGCAAAAAAATTGAATTTCACCACTGCACCAATTTTACTGATAAAGTGACTCTGGGCAGCTTGCAAAATAGCAAAAAGGTAAATATAAAACCTTAACGTTAATAAGATTTAAATAAGAACTAAAAACAAAGAGAGGGACAGTATGTAGGTGAAGTCTTTTCTCCCATCCTGTGAACCACTCAAAGTAGTGTTTCCAAGATAGCCAGCAAAATCAGAATTTTAGGCCTTTCTGGAGCACCAGAAGGGTGGGGGCAGATGTTTCTTGCTGTGGCAAAATGTTCCAATGGATGGGGGCCACCGTGGCAAAGGCCCTTCTCCTTGACTCAGTCAGCCGACATTCATTGACAGATGGATTCTGTAGCACCAGTGCGAGTGAGACAGGCCAATCCAACTGGGCCAAGATGGCTCCTCAGATAATAACCAACACTTTGTGTATGGTGGTATCAAGAAAATTGATAAGAGGGACATGGTACTTGGCTTCTATCTCTTTTGAAATCAATTTGGCAAATAATTTTTGGCACATATTTAGTCATACTCTTCAGACTGTTTCTATTTTTATATCAAGAGACAAGAACATTAGTAAGTACCTTCCCATATTAATTAAACAGTGTGATGATGTTATCACGGCAAGCGATAAAAATGCATTCCTATAATATGGCTGCTATTACCTAATTTGTAGCTGACCAAAAAAGAGACTCGCAGAATGAAAGGAAGCTGAGGAATGTTCTGTTTTAAGCACAACTTACACACACCTGTTAATTGTTCGACTGCACAGTGACTTTATATTTAATATTTTTTTCACAATGTTTCCTGCTTGCCTGTTCTCTTCATAATTGTCACATAACCAGCTGTGAGTTAGATTTTTGCACACTCCTACACGCACCAGCTCCATGACAAAACATATAAAAATGATACAGAGCTCCAGCAACCCTTATAAAGTTGCTCAGTTTAAATTTCATTTTTCAGACATGACAAAATTTTACGGGGAAGAGAGAGCTTGCATAATTAGGAGCTTCCTCTTTATGCTTCGGCTCTTCCTTGTATTCCCATCTTGTCTAGCAAGTAACCCAAGAGACTCAGTGAAGTAAGGTAAACTCAATGCCTGGCAAGTTGATTAAGTGCATCAGATAACATGATGAAAGGTGAAAATGAGAAAAAGCGCTTATTTGGGCAGTGAGTAAACCCATATTTCCCCTTTCATATAGTTCTGTTTGGAAGTAGAGTTATGATTTGGAAAAGGCTGTCTGATAGAGAAGATAGCCACCATTACTGATTTTCTTTCACAATAAAAGTTGTTTTTAAATCCCACCTTTATTATATTTATAAATAACTCAAGGGGATGCACATAATACTCCTTTCTCATCTTATTTTTCCACAACAAAAGGGAATTGTGATGAGAGAGAGAGTGACTGGTCCAAGGTCACCCAACCAGCTTTCAGGCCTAAGGCGAGATTAGTATTCACAGCCTTCTGGTTTCTAAAAGCCTAGTGTGTTAACCATTAGAGCAAACTAATTCCCCAAAAATCTGTGTCCCCCTAATCCAAAATGTAGTAAGGGCTGGTATTTAATTCAGAGTCAGGCCTGTTCAAGTCTTAAAAAGGTGGCCAAAGAACAATGTGTAAGTTCTAGCAACCAGAATAATTTCCATTTAGCAATTTTCATATTTCAACCCACCTCTTTACACAGGATTCAATCATATCACTAGCCATAAGTTTTAGTCGTTGTTCTAAGTGTTTCCCAAATTCTTCCTCAGGCCAGTGCAGATCCCTGATGAAGGTCTGTAAGGCATCTAGTTTCCAAAACAGATCTTCTGATGTTCCTGATCCATTGCTGCCAGGATAAAACGAAAAATAAGAAAGAACCAAATTACAGCCGGCTTGCTGATTTTAGAATCCTGATGTGGAGATTGTTCTTACACACGGAATGGGGTGTAACAGTGACCGAAGAAACAGAACAACGCCATGGGGGAATCTCCATCATCAGGCTTGCTGGGTTTTCTAGTCTACCTATCTCTTACAAGTCTTTCCAGATCAGACGGAGAAGACAAGTCATGTAAGAAATGGACATTCATCTGGAAACACCGCGTATGGGAAAAAGAACTCCGCCCTTTTCAATAACCACATTTCCTTCTGTAGTTGTTGAATTGGAGGCTCTACAAAGTAAAGGGACATCTCTACTTGATAATAACCGCACTACACAAGTGCATGTGGTTATTTTTAGGTTTCATGCATTTTATTTTCACAGATTACCAGATTTGTTCTCTTTCTTTTTCTCCCCCACTTCCTTTATCGCAAGGGTTTTGAGAGGGAAAAAAAACAGTGCTAACAAGTGGTGAGCGAGGACCTGATTTTTTGAACAGCTGGAAATAAATCAGGATAAGGCAATTAAATTATTCACAACGAGACATTTTTAAAAGAAAAACTTAGCTCAGGAAGGGTTGAGTTTACTAACCATTTGACCCATTTTTATTTTTGAGACAAAATTATTTTGGAGGAGGAATCAATATGCTTAACCAGGTTTCTTTAAGGTTTTTGTTTTGCTCTGTTTTGTTTTTGTGTTCAGATTTTTCTCATATATTTGGAGGTATCCTGTCTCGCTGCCGATTAGACTTCTGTTCAACTAAAATTATGCCTAATGCCTCCACTCATAAGGTCAATTTTACATTATGTTTTGCGCTGAGAAATTTATATATCTATTTACTACCCTTCTTCCTTTTCTTATTTTTCCCCCCATAATGATTATCATCAAGGAAGCTTCAAGGTATTATTCCCACTCCTCGCATACCACTAATGCTAACACAGTGATTGATATTTGACATACCATGCATTGTCATGTCACGCTGATATCGTCTATAGAAACAAATGAGGAAGAATGTTTCTATTGAAACCGATGCCAGCTGCATTGAATTAATGCTACAGTAGGGAAGATAAAGCTAAACGCAGACGTGGAAACCATATTCCCAACATGCCAAGGGGCTCTTGGAATCCTAGGCCAACAAAGGTAATTATTCAAACAATGCACTGACTTAGTTGTAGAAAACAGACATATCCAGATAAGGGGGTGAAAACACTGAAGCATGTTCCTAAATGGGTAGAAGGGAACTGGAATCAATGAAAAGATAGAGAATCAGGCATTTTCTTGAAGAACAGACCATCAAAGAAATACTATAGCATACAGGTAGCCCTCGACTTATGACCACAAGTGAGCCCAAAATTTACGTTGCTAAGTGAGAAATTTCTTAGGAATTGAGCTTTGCCCCATTGTATGATTTTTCTCGCCACGTTTGTGAAGTGCATCACTGCAGTTCTTAAAATTAGGGACACGGTGGTTAAGTGAATCTAATTCCCCCATGGACTTAGCTTGTCAGAAGACCGCAAAAGGAGATCACATGACCCCTGCAACCATCATAAATNTAACTACTGCAGTAATAATAGCAGATATAAGAAGAAGAGACGCAACATTGAAAAGGAGATGGAAGGAAAGTGGTGGTTTTTATGGCTCTAAATATCAAGGAAACATTTTTCATGTTCCTCCCAACTTACAGTGGATGGAGTGAAGATGGCACGTGCATGTTGGATGAGAGTTTGTGATAGTGGTTTGTAGCATGAGGGTTGGTGTGAGTTGTGTGAATGGTGTATATGAACACCTATGAGAATGTGGTGCATGTGTGATGTGAATGGTGTATTTATTTATTTGTTACCTGCCATAATTGAATATATATATATATCAACATACATGTGTTTGTGTGTGTGTAAAATGTGTGTATATGTAGTCTTCCTGTTCTCTGAGTTTTTCGGCTCAGAATCTTCTCTGGGTTGCCCAATTTCCTCATTAGCTTGCAGTAAATTATGCAAACGTCTAGCATCTGTTTGGCGAAAGATTTCACAAATAATGATTTTTCTTACTATAGTGATTGGAACCTTATCATGCCAAATCTTTAAAAGTGTTTCTTTTTAGTGCTCACGTCTTTAACTCTGCCCTCTTCTCAACTTAAGGAAAATCACTGAAAGTTTGTTATTAGTTCTTATCCTTCTCTCTTCCTTTCATACATATGGATATTAAAGGCAGAGCTGCAATGGATCTTAGAATGGGAGGAGCCTCTTCTAATACTGTTTCATGGGGTATTATCTGCAAAAGCAGAATGAAAAGCTGCACAATTTGAAATGACGTAAGAGAAAGCTTGAGATTCTTGGTATTGAAGCTATGTATGGACCAAAAAGCATAAGGGGTTGGTTACGAATTAAATTTAGATTTTGGTGAGGGAAATGTTTTAGCACCCATAACAGTCAATTTGCATCTTGGAATAAATCACAAAAGATAGCTAAAACAAAACAAACATAAAGAAATGATAGATTAAAGCAAGAAAAAGAAATGCGAACCAAAAAGGAACTGACCGGTTATGTAGTGAGCCCAATCTCACACTGAATCCAGTCCCTCTTTCTGGATCTTTAAAGTATCCAGATTAGGTATACATTCAACAAAACAAACAAAACTGAATTGGAACACATAGGAAGTCGATTCTGCACATGAAACATTGAATAGCTTGCATTACTGAAAATATGAAAAAATCCAAGCCCTGGATTGGTCTTAAATGGAGATGAAAAATGTTGACATCTTCTGAGCAAAACTGATTCGGATGAAACATTTCATCAAGCTCAATTCAGCATGTCTTTCTACTTCATCATACTACATTAGAATTAGAAAACCTCAGGTTATAAGCATTAGGTTATATAATCTTGAAAGGAAAACAAATTTAAATCAGCAGATGATAAAACTGGACCAGTTTGAAGCAGCTGAGTCATTAAGGACCTTGAAGTATGTTAAAACATAACGTGCCTTTTTCAAAGCAACAGATTAGTTGGACAATTTATTTCCCTATAAAGAAAAACATAAGTTTAAATATTTATGTTTTTATGGTAGTCGAAATAATGTCTTCTTTTCAACTTGGACATGTCAACATTTTGACAGAAAAAGATCCCAAGGTTGAGTTAATGACTCAATATTGCATACTATTGAACATAAATAGGCTCTGTTGTAGGTATGTTGTGCACATCAGTCTTTGCCAAAGGTCACCACTAAGTGAGCATGGATCTGATTATCTGCACTGTGTAGACTGATTTGATTGAGTGATCCAGGGTTTTCATCTGCGTAGTCTCTATAAAACTAAATCCACAACTGTTAGAACGTTTCTGAATCTAGCAAAATTTGCAGACCTTTCCTCTCTCAAAAATTACATTTTTTTCCCATAATGCATTTTACCTCTTGGCCCATTTCCATACTGCAAAGTTTTGTTGATTGAGCTTTGGCATCAACCATAACATTAAACATGGTGCATATTGACTGAGGGACTCGGAAATCTGTTGATCGGCTGGTTTTCTGTAGCTTTACTTCAAATGCAATCCGGGTTCTATGAAGCATGATTCAAAAAGAAAAAAAAAGAAAGATGTTTGGCTGAGGTATAAATACACTGCATCAAATAATCCTTGTGATCAATGCAACACAAGCCGAAGGGCTCAGAGCAAAGGACACTGCAGGCTGATGGGAAGACGAAAAAAGAGATCAAGTCAGCTATGTTGGCATGGCTGTCCATAGAGTGTGATTAAAAAAAAAGTTAAGATGATGGCAGCCATGGTGGTGTGACCAAACCTTCAACTGTTTTCACACATAAAAAAGGTGGAGCTTCAATGCAATCATTGTGACTGCTATTTTAACTTTTTGGACCACAGTTACAATACAATACAATACAATACAATACAATACAATACAATAC